TTGGACCCAACCTCAAGCCTCTCATACACAATGGAGCCAAAGACATGAAAACCCCTCTTTTATGATTTCAAATCAAACCCTAACTTTCCCAAACTTCCAAAATCTTGACATTTATACAAATTCCCAACATTTATGTTAAAACTCATAGAAAGGAGTAGATTATCCCTACCTCAAAAGGAGGAGCCAAAAGAAGACGAAGATGAAGACTCAAGATGCTCTAAACCCAAGGATTTTCGGATTAAAACGAAGTCCACGCAATACTCTAGCTTTCTTACAAAGGCATTAGGGTAGAAAACTCCTAGAACATGGAGTATTTGTAGAGAGAAGGAATGTGTAGAGAGAGAGTGTGTCAGATCTAGGGTTTGGATGAAAAAGAAAATGAAAAAGTGATGTATATCACGTTGTTGCCAACTGATATATTCGAACCTCGCTCGAGCGAAGAAGTGGTCGCTTAAGCGACCAGACACAAAAAAAGCTTCGCTTGAGCGCAAGAAGCGTCGCTCGAGCGAACAATGCGAAGCTTCAAGTCTGTGACCCAGAAGCACGCTCGAGTGCAAGAGTTCTCGTTCAAGCAAAGAAACACAAAACATAGAGCTCGCTCGCTCGAGCGAAGAATACCAACCTTCAGGTCCAACCTAGACGCAGACGCACGCTCGAGCACAAGAACGCTCGCTCGAGCCAACAGACACATCAAAGAAATCTCGCTCGAGCGCAAGAATCTTAGCTCGAGCAAAGAAGTAAAAACCCAAGGCTCGCTCAAGCGCAAAAAGCCTCGCTCGAGCGAAGATGCCAAATTCTGGATAGCAACCATTTGATCCAACACCCAACCAACCTGTTACAATCTTACCCAACACATCCCAAAACTCAAATACAAGGAATTAAATGATGGAAACAAGATATAGACAACAAACAGCAACTACGGAACCTAAGTCCAAAACACAATACATGACGGGGAAAACCGGGATCGCTATAATTTTCATGTTGATAATACATTTTTGTTTGACACTACATGCTAAACATGTCCATAGCCATAATAATATTATCTTTTTTTGTATTTATTTTCATTAATCTGTTTTATTATTTTTTTTAAAATTAAACATCTGCTTGGTTTTCATCTCAAAATTCATTTTTTTTTTAATTTTATTTTTTTGTCTTTCATCTTATTTTGTTTTCATTGAATTTTTTTAATATTTTAAACATTTTTTAAAATTTTTAGATGCACTTAAAATAAATATACTTAAAAAATATAATATTTGTAAAAAAATAAATAAAAAGTATTTGTAAAAGAAAATTTAAAAAAATTATTAATTACGAAACAAACAAGAAATCATTAAGAATTGTTTGGAACAAATTTATTTATTTCAAAATTTACATACTAAATTTTTTATTAATATTTAGTAGTTATTAAAAAATTTAAATCAATTTTATTGGGTAATACTTTTTCAACAATAAAAATATTACTATCTAATGATTTATATTAGATATATGAAATTTAAATGGAAAGTATATTAACTTATTTTAAAATTTAGAAGTGTGGCATCTAATCATTAAAAATAATAATTTTGCTTAGTTAGAGTTTTCCAAAAACACTTTTCAAAAAAATTTACATTTTTGTTTTTCGTGTTTTTTTTTATTTTTACTGAATTTTTTTAATATTTTAAACAATTTTTTTAATTTTTAGACATATCTAACATAAATATACCTAAAAAGTAAAAAAAAAATTGTGAAAAAAACCTTTTGAAAATTCACTAAATATCAAAAAATTCAGTTTTCAAAAAATTTAATCCAAAAAACTCAAACCAAATACACTGATTAATTTTTTCTTAATTTCGAACTTTTAAACGGAAAGAATACTAATTCAATTTTAAAATTTTAAAATTGTGAATCACCAATTATGTGAAATAATATATTTTATAAATCTTCTCTTTTGTGCGCATTGGAGTCGAGTCAATTTCTAATATTTAGTCTTTCTGAATTTTTATTTTTATTATGCATTTAACAATTATGTTAATTTTTAAAATTTATTGCATGTTTATTTAATTTAAGTGTATTTTTATAGAATATATTATCAATCTCTTTGATCGTAGGTGTGACAGTGATAAAAACAACTAAGTTGGCAAGTCTGCATTATCAGGACCTTGTCTTTTGTCCCGCTTTTTCTTTCTCTTTACTGATTTTCAAAATATTTTGACATATTCTTCGTAAAAAAAAAAAATGGCAACTTTAAAATAAAAAATTAGAGAATATATCTGTATATTTTGTTAAGCATTCAAACAAGTTCGAAACATATTATTAACTTAATTTGAGTAGATAGATAATTTCCTAATTGAAAATAAAACGGTAAGAGAATGCATAAAAATTGAAATTTTTCTTATCGTTATAGGTCAAAATTACATAATGAAAAAAATAATTGTGATCATTATTCAAAGAACTTAAGTTATTTAAAATATAATGAAGTAAATCCTCTAATAGAAGTTAATATGTAATATAATTTATTTATTGAAGAATTATGTTATGTTTTTAGTTACGTATTTTTTTAATTCTTTTTTAATTATTAAACAATTATTTTTACTATATCCAGGGGTACCAACGAAGAATTAGCAGTGCATTCAACAAAAGCAAGACTTATTTTCATTATCATTGTCATCAACCATACAAAGAAGAAATCACCAAGCATTGTTCGGAACAAATTCGCCTGAAAAGGAAACTCAAATGATGAATATCACTATAATAAGTAAAGACACCACAATAATTCCAGTTGGGAAAGGATTTAGTAAGAAAAAAGGTATTGACGAAATTGGCAGCACCATAAGATAGTTTGGAAACATTGATTCATGATTGGCGATGAGTTTCTAGAGCCGATTCTTCCCAGTGATCAAGAGGTTCCTGATTACTCATGCCAATCCACTTGTCATTTTATCTTGTTCAAGTCTGTCATTATGAATATAAGATCTTGTTCAAGTTTGTCATTATGAACCTAAGATCTTGTTCAAGTCTGTTATTACGAATATAAGATTTGAACAAGATGAAATGACAAGTAGATTGACATGAGAATCAAGAATCTCTTGATCACTAGGAAGAATCGGCTCTAGAAATTCATCGTCAATCATGAATCAATATATCAATAGAAGTTAACGATCACCAACCATGAATCAATGTATCAATAGAAATCAACGATTAAAAGGGTGTCAAGAATTCTTAAATCCCGAGGATAAGTGGTTGTTTATTGGGTTTTTCACAATAAGGTAGACGTTTCTTAATTAATTTTAAAAAAAAAGGAGTAGTTTACGAATGTAAGATTACATATATTTTGGAGTTAAAGATTTCAATTTTTTAAATATTCAAATTTATATATGAGTTAATAGAATCTATATCTATAGACATAATAATATATTTTTTTTATTCTTATTTTCATTAACCTCTTTCATTATTCCTATTATTATTTTTAAAATTACATATTTGTATGATTTTGATTTATAAAATTCACTTTTCAAAAAATTTTATTTTTTTGTTTTCCGTATTTTTTAAATATTTTAAGTATTTTTTTAATTTTTAAATACACTTAACATAAATATACTTAAAGAGTATAATATTTGTACTTTTTCAAAAAAATAAAAAATAAAAAATAAAAATTGTTTAAATCAACCACACAAATAAGAAATCACTAAACGAATTTATTTATTAAATTTATTGATTAATTTTTAGTTATTATTTAAATTTTTTAAAAATTCTATTAAGTAATACTTTTTCAACAATAAAAATATGACTATTTAAAGATTTATGAAATTTAAATGGAAAGTATATTAACCTATTTTAAAATTCAAAAGTGTGTCATCTAGCCATTAAAAAATAATAATAATTTTTTCTTAGTTTTGGACTTTTAAAAAGAAAAAATACTAAAGTAATTTTAAAATTTTAAAAAAAATATTATCATGAGCATTTGAGTCTCACCCTATAAAAGAGCCACAGAGAATATACTTAAAGAGTATAATATTTGTAATTTTTCAAAAAAATAAAAAATAAAAAATAAAATTTGTTTAAATCAACCACACAAATAAGAAATCACTAAAAAAAATTATTTATTTTTAAACTCATATATTAAATTTCTTGATTAATTTTTAGTTATTATTTAAAAAAATTTAAAAATTCTATTAAGTAATACTTTTTCAACAATAAAAATATGACTATTTAAAGATTTATGAAATTTAAATGGAAAGTATATTAACCTATTTTAAAATTCAAAAGTGTGTCATCTAGCCATTAAAATATAATAATAATTTTTTCTTAGTTTTGGACTTTTAAAAAGAAAAAATACTAAAGTAATTTTAAAATTTTAAAAAAAATATTATCATGAGCATTTGAGTCTCACCCTATAAAAGAGCCACAGAGAAAAACACTTCCTCCCCCATAAGGCCACACAAACCGCATCGGGATTAGCATCGTGCCTGCAGCGATTTCACCGGTTTCCTTTGCATAATCCATGCCCGAATAGAACATTCACTCTCAAAATAATTGGTAACCCTCCAAGCAACAAACAAATTTCCTATTAACCCTAAAATGATAAATGAAAATCAAATAATTATTTTACAATCCAGTACACCATTGAAGCACATTCAATTCCCATAAATAAAAAATTAAAATAAACCCAGTACTTCAAAGTTGAATCTTCAAATTCTACCACCAAAAACCTCAACTTTTCAATGAACAATGCCTCACGGAGTACACGATTAAAGACGCGATTTTAATGAAACAAATACACGTACTATTCGGAAAAAATAATAATTTAAAAAAAAAATTGGTCAGGTTTGAATGTCAACAACATCCACACTCAACAACATCCACACCAATAAATGTCTGCTAATTCAATAATGTGAAAGAAAGATAACATTTCTTTTTTTTAGGTTTGAATAGAAAATAAATGGAGGGCAAAAGAAAGAGAAAAACAATGAAAATCAAGATACAAAACTCCATTAAGCAACTAAACAAAATACAACTAAGTACTACAAAAAAATTGTCTTCCAAATGTTAGAAAAAGCCTCAATAATGACCCCGTGATGATGACGCGAATTGAGCGAGAAGAAACACTCCAACAGCTGCTCGAAATCTCTCACTTCAAACATTTGCTTCGCTAATATCATCTCCATCATGGATGCCTTGATATCCTCATATGGGTCCACCGATTTGATCACCACTGCGATGCTATCCTCCACTTTCCCCTTCACCGGAAACGACGGTAACAACTTCTTCATCCTCTTCTTGCGATTTAGTGAAAACGACGCTAGTGTCACGATCTCTTCTTCTTCATCATCTCTCTCGTAGCCACACAAACCACTGTCGGCCGAGGAAGTGGTGATAGGGTGTCGTGTCGGCGGAGGAGGAGAAGGGGGGAAGAGCTCGTTGTCAGAGTCGCCGGAGATGGAGGAGTTGTAGTTGCGATGTGGCGTCTCGTCCCACTTGCATGCCGGTGATTCGGGGAGGTCGTCTTCGTGTGTGCGGAACCCACAACCGAAAATGAAGGAGACGCGGTGCTTGAAGGAGGAGCGATGGGGTTTGAAAGGAAGCGGGGTGGCCGGCTGGCAGTCAATGAAGAGAGGGTTTGGGCAGAGTTGGATAGGATTTTCTGGGATGTTGGACGGATTTTTGGAGTGGCAGAATTTGAAGGATGATGTGATACGGGAGATGAAAGCCTTGAATGCCATTGAATTGTTTTGTCTTTCTTTCTCTTTCTCTTTCTCTTTGTTTGTTGTATTTGTATGATTTCAATGTATGGATTAGCTATGCAATACAATATGTATATATAGAAATAGGGGGAACGAAGGTGAATCAATGAAGATGAATCAAGAAAGGAAAATGAATATTATTAAAGGAAAATAATTTTATAAGGCAACGAAGATGAATATTATTATTATTATTATTAAACGAAAATAATTTATAAGGCAATGAAGACCAATCAGTAAAAGGAAAATATTATTATTAAAAGAAAAATAATATTATAAGGAATATTAATATTATTATGTATTTTTATTTTGAAAAAAAAAAGTTTGAATGGGAATCAATCGTGCATACTGGAATAGTGGAATGTAATTTGTAAAATAAATTGAAGATTTTTAATATTTTATCAATATATATTCTTTAAAAAAAGTTTAAAAGCTGAGCCCCATTTCTGAGTTTTCTTTGGGCCTCAAAAAATTCAAGCCGACCCTACCATATGGGCCTAAATCATTCTGGTCCATGAGGCTGTGAGTATATACACAAGAAGTCAAACTACCTTTGGTTGTTTAGTAGAGAGAGTGAGCACCTAAACAAGACAACTAAAGGATGTTTGAAATATTAATCAATAATTAAATATCCTATTGAGACACATTTAAGAGAATGTCATGAAGTTCCTTGGAAAATTGACACAACACAACAATCATTCAATTGAAATGAGGTAATGGACTCAACCAAAACACCATATGGAAAACATTGCAAGAAGTTTCTAGGTACAAATCCACTTTAACAAAGAACCAGAATAATAGATTGAATTGTACAACTCAGGAATTTAATCATTAGGGTTTTGAATCATTTGCATCCAATAAATTCTAAAAAAAACCAAATCGAAAAAACTAATTAAAAAAAAAAACTCCTTGAAAATTCATTGGAATAGTGCCTGTTCTAATCAAAAGCGAAAATAGATGCTCTAATAAACCTAGTTTGTAAACCCTTCAATATGTCTTCATACAAATAGTTGGAATCGAATTCTATTCGAATCACAATTTCACCTTCTTTTTAGGCCGTTTCACTACAGCATCTGCAGTGTCCTTTGATGACTGCAACAGAAAAACATTAAAGACTAAGCAAAGGTTACAATTTTGATTTGACTAGGTTGAAATGGTCAATGGCAACAAACCTTTTGTTTTTTGTGTTTTCCCTTATCCTTCTTTTTTTTTTTTTTTTTTTTTTTTTTTTTTTTTTTTTTTTCTTTGACTCAATTTTTTCACCTTTATCTTCCAAAGAATCCTGTCATATTTGCAACCAATTAGGAAGAAAAATAGGTCATAGAAACACACCGGTGTATTGAAACTTTCCAAAAATGATTACAGGAACACAAAAATAAACCACCTCAAAGTCGCCAAAAGAGTCTACATGTCGAACTATTCTTCCTGAATGTGAAACCCCACCTGTTATAGAAAGAACATTGGACTTTATTGCTTAATGCAATATGAGAAATACTATAGGGATATATGCAACATCGCAGATATCATTAATGCGAGTAGATCATTCACATACAAGCAAGAAAGGCAACCATCATCATAACGTAATAGATGAAGTATAAAACAAGTGAAATTATGAGAATACATCCGAGTAATATATACTGTATCAAGGATTTTGTCCAGAATTGATCAAATTGAATACTCATTATTTCCATACACAATGTATAGAAAGAACCAGTTGCCACACTGCCAAACCTCTATACAAACACCAAATGATAAGAAGGGAAGAGATCAAGCACCCCACCAACAAATACAACCATATCCCAGTAGATTGATAGTCTACAGTTATAATTGTTTTTTTTATTCTGCAAGGTTATCTAGTTTAAATTTCGAGGACGAAATTTCTTTAAGGAGGGTAAGTTGTGATGACCCAGAAATAAATAAAAATAAAAATAAAATAAATAAAAGAAGGAAATATATGCATGATGATGTTTCGGTGGTCGAAATAAAATAAACAAAAGATGGAATATAGATTATGATGATGTGTGTGGGTGGACAGCATTTGTTAACGCTAAAGAAGACACACATGGGGTGGGGCTATTAGAAATAATACTTATCTCTCTCTCTCTCTCTCTCTCTCTCTCTCTCTCTGTAATGGCTAAACCCGAAGAAGAGAGAGACGAGCCACTGACTCCAGCAGGCCGACTTTTCTTACGTCCCAAAATGAACCAAATCATCCATTGCCTCGTCGGCGTCAAAAAAACCATCAACATCGATTCAATCAGATCTGAAATCAGCAACTTCGTCATGATCAAACAACCCCAATTCTCAAGCCTCCCTAGGAGGTACACTTGTTGAGACCCTATAACTGTATTTTGTTTCGAATCCATCACACTTTGGGAGATAGGATTTCTCTCATGTCAATGCTTTTGGCGTGTTGTCAGAGAGCTGATGATCCGGATTGGAGACCGACGATTGAGTCTGTGGGGGCTTCAAAAGAGAGAGAGAAGAGGTGGAAGAGAGTAGTGGAGAGGAGTGTGAAGACGGTGTGGTTGACGGTGGTGTTTGTCGTGGAATTTGCGATAAGGAGTTTGTGGGTGAGAGATAGGAGGACCGTCGTGAGCGGTGGTGCGAGAGTGGAGCTGTGGCCGAGGAAGCTTGCCATCTTCAAGTTTTTGCTAGAGGATATGAAAGCGGTGAAAAATCCTGTTGTGCACGAAAAGAAGGAAAGCATGCATTATTAGTTTGAAGCTCTTCTAGGAATTGGAGGTTAAGCATCTATGAAACTCATCTATGTATTCCATGTGAAATTAGATGCTTGTCCCTTGATTTGGGCCTTTACTTTTTCAATTGGCAAGTATTGAACTTTGCATCGGGTGTTGGCTTGGGAATTTTATTTCTCACACATCCGTATATTAGGCAAGCAAGTTAAAAGTTTAGAACCCAAAATAGACTTGGTGAGTGCCACTTGATCCTGGAGGGTATTTTATTATCAAGGGAACTGAGAAGGTGATTTTAATACAGGAGCAACTTTCCAAGAACAGAATAATCATTGATACAAACAAGAGAAAAGGTTTCAACTCGTTCCTTCTTCAAACTTGAGGTAGGGATTTTCTACACTCTACTATGGTTTTTAGCTTAGTTATTTGCTATTGTGTATAGATGATGAGATTTGGGTGTTATATGGACAAGAGGGGTTTTGATGAATATGAGGTAAATGAATAAGAAACTTAAATATAAGATCAAGTTGTGCCAAAATAGTTGTTTTTGGTGTTTGGGTTAATATTTGATAAAAGTGGGATTTTGCCCTAATTTGATTAAATCATTATTTTGCGTAAATAATTGGAATTAACATTGAAAATGTGAAATTGGAAGGTCGTGGTTATAAATGGTGATATTGGATATGTATTATCTCACCTATGGAAGTTTTGAATAAATTATTTATTTCAAATAATGAACATCTCTTTAGAAATAAATGCATTGGGCTATCGGTGGAGGATAGTCATGATTGTTGTAGAACTTGTATGAGGATTAGGCGATTTAATGCTAATCTATTGTTGGTTGTCATTGAATATGACCGTGCTATAAATACATTGTATATGTATGTTTATTGGGAGGAGATAGGGGATGTACTCCATATATGATTATGTTTATAAATACATTGCATATGTATATTTGTTTGGGAGGAGAAAGGGGATGGACTCCACCTAAAGCAAGTTAGCCAGAGTGTCCTGGGTGAAAGACCCGAAATTTTATATATAAATGGGTGTCGGTTCCTTCGGACGAAATATTCGTAAAATGGCGAGTTTGAAGTGTTTATGTGTGTTTTGCATAAATGGAAAACCATTGAGTTGTAGTCTCATTTTGGTTATTGAAAGATGATGAATTTAACTCATGAATTGAGTAGTATATATATGAACTAGAAATGAATTGAAGGAAAATGGAATAAGATTGGTCTTAGTGGCATATGAATATGCAGGCTTGTGGATGCTTCCACATCGATATTGTTTATGTACGTGGTATTTATACCTTTGCTAAACCTCATAAATTGTGTTAGACTATTTTTACTGGGCTGTTGGCTCACCCTATACGGGTGTCACGACCCCATTCCGCCCCTAGTAGAATGGTGCCGTGATGGCCAGTAATCCGGCATTTACCAAAGACCAACTTACAAAGGTTCACCCACAATCAAACTATACATATGGGGCTTACATGTGCGGAAGCAATATATTTAAATCTAATTAGTCCATAAGAGCTGTGCATAGATCAAATGAAATGATATACATCTTAACATGGTTTTACAACTTGGGTACAAATAAAATAAAGTACAAATATTACATCTTGATCAAAAGGCTTCTCAAGCCAAAGTATACAAAAAACATGAATTACAACTAAAAAGCATAATCTTCAAGACGATACAAAACATGAATCAAACATCTTGCACATAACATCTTAGGCGTCACCGCCTTCTTGCTTGCCATCTACATATATATAAGGAGAGGGTGAGCTTGGATACTCAGTGAATGATATTATTAATAAAGGTTTAAATGAATGATATTCGAGATCTTTATCAAAACAATACATATCATGGCTTATAACAAAACATGGAATGAATCAAGTTCATCAATTAAATCTTTCAAAGCTTCTTGGATGTTAACAACATCTACATAATACAAAACGATGACATTCCGGACAAAACAAGGGAATAATCGACCCGGAATCGATTAGACAAATCCACCTGTACACCAGACCGTCGGTGGGGCCATCCGTTCATAGACCGTCGATGGCAGAGATCTTTCAAACATGATGCTACATGGGCTTAGAGTCCCCTAGCATGGGAGGACTTTCCGAGAATGTCATCAAAACAAAGCTAATACTTGATACAAAACTAGGGATAATCATTCATGCTTGATCAAATACTTTTCAAAATGAAGCAAAGCTTTATCAAAACTTTATAACATAGCTTTATTAAAAATACCACTCACATAGCTCTTCAGACGTCGGGG